GAGAAGGATAGGAAGCAAGAGGAGAGTGGGCACAGAGTCGTGAGGAAAGAAATGAGAGCTGGTGTGGGGGAGGAGAGGAGAGGAGAGGAGAGGAGAGGAGAGGAGGGATCTCGTACTGAGCAGCACTCTGTCAGCTCACTGAGATAAATGCATCTTTTCCAGTCGTCCATCACTCCCCTCCATTATCAGGCATGTTATAGTAACTCTATAATCCACAAACAGAACAGGGTTCACGCCGTCTGAGCTCAATTACTTCAGCCTGAAAAGCCTCTGCAGTGCAGCTGTACAGACCAGAGCAGCAGCATGCAGAGCACTGCAGCCAAGAGGCAGACAAAAGAGGCAACTCAAAGTGCAGGTATACGTCTCTGTGCTCAGCTCACCTCGTCAGATACAGAGAGAACACATCACCCCTAAAGACATAGGGTCATTTTAATTTTTATTTGATTTTCTCATAGTAAATACTACTTGGGTTTGTTTGGGATGTTTGAAAAGGAACATTTTTAATCCCTTGAACTCTGCCCCAAGTTCATCTCTGCCTGGAAAATATCTATCAATGGAAAAGCCAGTTAGCTATACATCTAGCAAACACTGCAGAGCTCAGCTGTGGAGTAAAAATCGTCACATTGCACTTAGAGCCAGGCAAGAATATCAGCTCATGTCATCTGACTGCAGACATGTCAGCACTGGTGTGTCTGTCAGTCAGTAGGAGACAAGAAAAACCCAAAGCTGGATGGATTAATTCTAAACAATGTCATCATTACAGTCTGTCCACGTTGAATTTTCAAACTCAGTACAGTTTTAATGATCCAGTGATGCATTCTATCTTGTTACCTGTGCAAAAATAAAACACTGAAGTCCCGCTCTATCGTGCAGGAATCCCACAGAGCGGCGTGGACTTCCTCATTATCGTTAGAAATAAAAACAATGACTGCTGTAACGGTGAAAAACAAATCTAAAATGGCAAAAACACGCATGATAAGAGCCAACTGATGTGGATCAAGACAGTAGTTAAACCCTTTCACATGTGACCCCCTGGAGTGGGTTGTAGATTGAATCCTAAATGGGTAAAATTTGGCAGCATTTCAACACAGTGACCTGAAATCAACCGTTTACAGCTTTGTTTGCGACGGCACTCCAGATTGTGGTTCAGGTGCATCCTGTTGTCTTTAATTATCCTTGAGACAACATCTTTGCAGAAAATCGATCTGAATGAAGGTAGTTTAGGAACACACCTGTGTATGTAGTGACTCACAATTCACATTACACGTCAGAATTAAAACAAAGCTGCAAAGTCCACAGAACTCTCAACAGACTTTTGAGGGAAGAATTCTAGCAAGTGCAAGGGTAGCAATGCATCTCATGCTTTAAGCGCTCTCGGGAGTCCACTTACCTCAAAATAGAATCAGTTCGGGGCCACTAAAATTCGTCCTGGTGTTGGCCGTCCAGCAGAACAGCCAGAAGATCCACCATCTTAGTAATACTCCATCAGGGCTTCATGGTAGAGCAGCTAGAGAAGGCCACCCTTGAGTAAAAGTAATGACAGTTTACTTGCTGTTGGAGCCAAACAGCATTTAAAGCATGAAGAAGAATAATTACCACCTCGCCGTCGAAGTTGCAGTTTACATCCCTGTCGGTCCAGACGTCATTACCATTAACACTCTGGTGAAATTTTTACCTTAATTAGTTGTGAATTCTTGACTTACGGACAAAAACATGTTTTGTGACAATGACCTTCGACCACCAAAAGTTGATCCTTTCATGCTGGAGTCCAGGTAAACATTTAAGCCAAAATTGAAGAACATCTCTCTAGNCTGAATACTTGAAGGACTTATTCTGGGGACACGTGGGACTGGAGTTGTTTTGTTGAAACGGAGCACAATGGGACCTTCAGATGAGCCTCCAGGAACACTTTGTATGAGGTTTGTGCATCCAGGCCTCTAACTGTTGGCAGTACAGTTGCATTGTGGTTCATATAAGCACAGGCTTTGACAAGGAGCAAGAAGGTTTTGACTTGTGATTGAGAGAATTCACCTTTTAATGACATGGATTCTGATGGATTGTGGAGATTAATGTAAAAGCCTACAAAGGCACTAAAAGTAAACTTTCAATTGAACGCAATGACAACAAAAGCAAAGCACACAAGACTGAACACAGACAGTGACATGTCTCTTTCTCGTCAATAATTCACTGCCTGTCTAGCTGTGATTTGCAGACTTATTGCACTGATACAGTACCAAACATCCACAGGCCCGCTCGGATCGATGCACACACACACATACAGTAATAACAAAGAATGAGTAATGTCTGATGCCTGCGCACTATGTGGGTCATGTGATCTGTGTGAGCACCTTGGACGAGAGCAGGAACTGAACCGTCAAGGAAACGCACACAATCCTGCATATCTGGACATGACAACACGTTAAACGCATGCAGATGATAGAGTTGGCTGCACTCAGGCTGAGGATGCTTGATGCTTTTGCACTGACACTCTGGGAAATCTGATAGGCAGCAAAGGGTTATCCATTACAGTGTAGGTCCACACACACACACACACACACACATAATGCGCTTTGTGAAGCTGCATGCAGATGTGTGCACTTAAATGCAGAAAGAAAGTCCTCTACAACACGCACGCAGCATTACCTCAGCCCTGTCTGCAGACGCCGTTGTGATTCAGCCTGCTGGAGCTCCATGGCAGCAGAGGAGGAGAGGAGCAGAGGAGGGAGAGTGAAGGATGGTGGTGACAGCGGCGAGATGAGAGGCAGCCCTCCCTGACTCAGTTGCTTTCCCATCTGCGTACACTCATACACTGACACACAAACACACACACACACACTCTAGGCTCTCTGCAGGATACAGCAACCTCCAGTAGCAGCGTTCACTAGCTGGCAGCGGCTGGCAAGGCTGGCTGACGCAGGCAGTCACGGTGTCGCCACTCCGAGGAGTAGAGAGTCAGAAAGGAGGAGGGAGGGAGGAACAGGAGATGGAGAGAAGGAGGGAGGAGGAGACGAGGGAGAAGGCGAGGAAAGGAGCAGAGGGTGTAGAGGGAGAAGGATAGGAAGCAAGAGGAGAGTGGGCACAGAGTCGTGAGGAAAGAAATGAGAGCTGGTGTGGGGGAGGAGAGGAGAGGAGAGGAGAGGAGAGGAGAGGAGGGATCTCGTACTGAGCAGCACTCTGTCAGCTCACTGAGATAAATGCATCTTTTCCAGTCGTCCATCACTCCCCTCCATTATCAGGCATGTTATAGTAACTCTATAATCCACAAACAGAACAGGGTTCACGCCGTCTGAGCTCAATTACTTCAGCCTGAAAAGCCTCTGCAGTGCAGCTGTACAGACCAGAGCAGCAGCATGCAGAGCACTGCAGCCAAGAGGCAGACAAAAGAGGCAACTCAAAGTGCAGGTATACGTCTCTGTGCTCAGCTCACCTCGTCAGATACAGAGAGAACACATCACCCCTAAAGACATAGGGTCATTTTAATTTTTATTTGATTTTCTCATAGTAAATACTACTTGGGTTTGTTTGGGATGTTTGAAAAGGAACATTTTTAATCCCTTGAACTCTGCCCCAAGTTCATCTCTGCCTGGAAAATATCTATCAATGGAAAAGCCAGTTAGCTATACATCTAGCAAACACTGCAGAGCTCAGCTGTGGAGTAAAAATCGTCACATTGCACTTAGAGCCAGGCAAGAATATCAGCTCATGTCATCTGACTGCAGACATGTCAGCACTGGTGTGTCTGTCAGTCAGTAGGAGACAAGAAAAACCCAAAGCTGGATGGATTAATTCTAAACAATGTCATCATTACAGTCTGTCCACGTTGAATTTTCAAACTCAGTACAGTTTTAATGATCCAGTGATGCATTCTATCTTGTTACCTGTGCAAAAATAAAACACTGAAGTCCCGCTCTATCGTGCAGGAATCCCACAGAGCGGCGTGGACTTCCTCATTATCGTTAGAAATAAAAACAATGACTGCTGTAACGGTGAAAAACAAATCTAAAATGGCAAAAACACGCATGATAAGAGCCAACTGATGTGGATCAAGACAGTAGTTAAACCCTTTCACATGTGACCCCCTGGAGTGGGTTGTAGATTGAATCCTAAATGGGTAAAATTTGGCAGCATTTCAACACAGTGACCTGAAATCAACCGTTTACAGCTTTGTTTGC